GGGAGTGAGATTTCTTTCCAAGATGCAGCCAGTGTTGCCAGGCGAGTTGAGATGGTTTTGCTCAGGGGAGTGGTCAGGGGTCTGACAAGAGGCCATGTCACTCGGGTGGATTCAATGGGGCCTCATCTAGAGGTCGAGGTACTTTTGGTAGAGGTCATCCTCCCAGGCTGTTTCATTCAGCACTCCAAGCATCCCATGGTGCATCAGGTGGCCGTGGTCCTCACATGCATTATTCGGATCAGCTAGCCTATAGTGCGCCACCAGCTCCTATCAGTGCATCTCCTATTTAGAGTTATTACCGTGGTCAGCCGGCCCGTCTGAGTCAATCTCAGTTTCCATGGCCACATTATCAGGATGGATGTTTCGAGTGTGGTGGCTATGGGCATATCAGGAGGACCTGTACGAGGTTATTGGGCGTTCCGCCATAGCAACAGAGTTCTCGTGCCATGATTCCGGCACTGGGTGCACCACCGCCCACTCAGCCAGCTAGAGGTAGGGGTCAGGGAGCCAGAGGTAGAGGTCAGGCCGTTAGAGGTGGAGGCCAGGCCGCTAGAGGTGGAGGCCAGCCAGCAGGAGGCCTTCCTAGAGATATGGTTTAGAGTGGTGGGGCCCAGCCTCAATGTTATGCTTTTCCAGCCAGGCCTGAGGCTGAGTCATCTGATGCTGTTATCACAGGTACTATTTCAGTTTGCAGTAGAGGTGTTTCAGTTCTATTTGGTCCAGGGTCTACCTACTCCTATGTGTCAGCTTACTTTGCTTCATATTTGGTTGTGCCCCATGATTCCTTGAGTGCTCCCGTATATGTGCCTACTCCTATGGGGGATTCTATTGTTGTAGATCGTGTCTATCATTTGTGTGTGGTTATTATTAGGGGTCTTGGTACTAGTGTAGATCTTCTACTTCTCGGTATGGTTGATTTTGATGTTATTTTGGGGATGGATTGGCTGTCACCTTGTCACACCATATTGGACTGTCACGCCAAGATAGTAACATTAGCCTTACCGGGGTTGCCTCGATTAGAGTCGAGGGGGACTCCTGGCCATTCTACCAGCAGGGTTATCTCTTATATGAAGGCTCGGTTGGGAGAGGCAGCCTACAGACTTGCGTTGCCACCTGGTTTATCAGCAGTTCATCCGGTGTTTCATGTATCCATTCTTCGGAAGTATCACGGCGATCCATCCCACTTGTTAGACTTCAGCGCTGTCTAGTTGGACAAGGATTTGACCTACGAGGAGGAGCCGGTAACTATTCTAGACCGACAGGTTCGTCAGTTAAGGTCGAAGAGTTACCCTTCAGTTCGAGTGCAGTGGAGAGGTCAGCCCGTTGAGGCAGCTACCTAGGAGTCCGAGTTTGATATGCGGAGCAGATATCCCCACCTTTTTACTAGCTCAGGTACTTTTCTATGTCTGCTCGAGGATGAATGGTTGTTTTAGAGGTGGAGAATATGATGACACAAAATGTCATCTTACGTTTTAGAACTCGATTCTGTGTTCCGACGACTTTAAAATTTCATTTTACCCTTCTCGATTTGCGTGCTCAGTCCGGGCATGCTTCCGAAAAGCTTTTATGTTGAAAGTTGATGAAAATTAAAATTTTTGTCTTTAAAAGTTGATTTAGTTGAGTTCGGTTAACGTTTTGAGTAAATGGATCTGGACTCGTGTTTTGACAGTCCCGGTGCGTCCGTATAAAAATATGGGACCTAGGCATATGCCCGGAATCGAATTCCGAGGTCCCTAGCTTGAGAAATGAATTTTTGATGAAAGTTGAAAGTCTGAAAATTAGATGGTTTTAAGAATTTGATTAATGTTTGATCTCGTTGGTATCGGGTCTATATTTTGGTTACGGAGCCCGGTACAGGTTAATTATGATATTTAATACTTCTCTATGAAATTTGGTGAGAAACTTAGTTGATTTGACGTGATTCGGACGTCCGGTTGAGAAAATAGAAAATTTAAAGTGTTCTTGAAATTTCATTTGATTTGGTGCTAAATTCGTAGTTCTAGGTGTTATTTTAGCGATTTGATAGCACAAGAAAGTTCGTATGATGTTTTAAGACTTGTGTGCATGCTTGGTTTGGAGCCCCAAGGGCTCGGATGAGTTTCGTATAGGCTACAGAGTGTTTTGAACTTAGAAATTTTTGCTGGTGTGCTTCAGGTCTGCTTTGCATTTGCGAGGTCTTGCTCGCAAATGCGAGCCTCGCATTTTTGAAAATTCATCGCAAATGCGAGCAATTGGGCTGGGGATGGACTTCGCATTTGCGAAGATCAGGATCGCAATTGCGATAACCTGAGGTCGCATTTGCGAACAATAGTTTGCATTTGCGAAGGCAGCAAAAATGCGAGGAGTTCGCATTTGTGAAGCTTTTCTCACATTTGCGAGCTTCGCAATTGCGAAGCTTAGGTCGCAAATGCGACATCTGCAGCTGTGTAAAAATGAAGTTAGACGGGATTTTTTGTTCATTCTTCAAATATTCAAATCCTAGAACCCTAGAAGCAATTCTTCCAAGACCAATTCTTCCCAAAACTTTGGTAAGTGATCCTAACCCACTTTCTTGCAATTTCCCATCACATTTCATGAATTTCCAACCTAAAATCTAGGATTTTCATGGGAGAAGTTAGGCGTTTGGGTAGAATTAGGGATTTTAGGGAAAATGAGATTTAGACCTCAAATTGGGGTCGGATTTCAAAACTTATTACATATTCGGGCTCGGGGGTCAATGAGTGAATGGATTTTGGTCCGAACCTCGAGTTTTAACAAAGCGGGCCCCGGGTCATTTTTTGACTTTTTGGGGGAAAGTTTGAGAAATCTAAATTTATGCATTGTCGTTGGTTCCTTTAGCAATAATTGATGTTATTGAGTTAATTGTGGCTAGATACGAGGGGTTTGGAGGTGGATACTAGAGGAAAAGCGGTAATTGAGCATTGAGTGGCCCGCGGAGCGAGGTAAGTGTCGTGTCTAACTTTGACTCGAGGGATTAGAAACCCTTGACTTATTTGCAATGTGAAATCCATGTGAGCGGTGTATAGGTGAGGTGACGAGTACCTATGCACCGCCAATTTATCTGTTTTGCCTGTTTTCTTCCTGTTCTTCTTATATTGTCTTTTCGTGCCTTAACTGCTACATGCTTTACTTGTAATTCCATGCCTAATTGCTACTTGTTAGACATTGTATCTTTTGTTGGAAGTGTTAGTTCTTTTGTAGCTTCGTTATCTCATATTATTGTTTGAGCTGGTTATTGGTACTTTCAAGGCATATTATGAATTGGTCTCGCTGAGTAGTATTACCTATATAAAGACTCTTAGTGTAAAATCTTTCTAAATGCTTTGGTTTGAAGTTGAGCCTTGTGAAAAGTTATGTGATTTGAATTTTGTAATTTCTGTACTTGCTGAGTAAATGATATTGATATGATGGGATCGGGTTGCGTACTGCATCAGCTGTAATAAGGGTGGATTGTGGTGAGATAATGGTGAACTGTGATACGGTAGGATCGGGTTACACGCTGCAATAGGTGTAATAAGGGTGGATTGTGGTGAGATAAGGGTGAACTATTATTGTGGTTATTGAGATATAGTGGGATCGGATTGCACGCCACAACAATCTTTATACTTATATATTCCCTTGATTGTGTTAGATGAACGGTTGTCTTACAGTGTACTTAAGGATTGGTTATAGCTGAACACTGATGATATGTTTTGAGAACCGTATTCATTCCTTGCAAGTTACTGCTTTATTTTATCCTATCCTTCTTTCTAATTTTATTTTACATTGTATGCAATTTATATATTAAATGCACCGCGGTAGCCTTGTCAGTACCTCATCGAGGTTAGGCTCGGCACTTACCAGTACATGGGGTCGGTTGTACTAATACTGCACTCTACACTTCCTATGCAGATTTTGGAGCAGGCTCGTGCTGATCGAGAGGTTGGCTGTAGGATTCACTTGTTTGGAGACCCAAGGTAGTCCTGTTGGCGTCCGCAGGCCATGGCGTCCCCTTCTATACCCCAAACTTTGTTGTTTTCCTTATTTCTTAAACAGTTGTATTTTCTTTCGGACAAATGTTTATAGCAAAATCTTAGAATGTTCGTGGATAGTGACACCGGATTCTGGGTAGTAGATATAATTAAAGGGGCTATTTACTTACTTCCGCATTTATCTCTACTTGTTTTAGTTTATTTGTTGTTAATCACTGAAGCGTAAAGGATTTGACTAATAAAAACTCTAACATTGGTTTGCCTAGCAAGTGTGATGTTAGGCGCCATCACGGTCCCGATGGTGGGGATTCCGGGCCGTGACAGCCTACAACCCAAATGCTCGACCTCCACACGTTCCTATCAAGAGCCATGTCCTCGAAAATCTGATGTCGCGCCATGTCCTGCCTGATCACCTCGCCCCAATACTTCTTAGGACGCCCTCTACCTGTTCTCGTACGTGCCAAAGCCAACCGCTCGCACCTCCTAACTGGGGCATCTATAGTTCTCCTCCGCACGTGCCCGAACCATCTAAGCCTTGCTTCCCGCATCTTGTCGTCCACGGGAGCAACGCCCACCCTCTCCTGAATATCTTCATTCCTTATATTATCCAGTTTAGTATGCCCGCACATCCATCTCAACATCCTCATTTCGGCTACTTTCATCTTTTGGATATGTGAATTCTTAACTGTCTAACACTCAGCCCCATACAACATAGCCGGTCTAATCGCCGCTCTGTAGAACTTGCCTTTGTGCTTCGGTGGCACCTTCTTGTCACACAAGACTCCAGACGTTAACCGCCATTTCATCCACCCCACCCCAATACATTGTCCTTGGTTTTGAAAGAGTTTCTAGTTTGTTTACCAATATGACATGCATCACATACATGATTTCTAGAAAAGTTGAGTTTGGGAAGACTAATAACTAAATCATGCTTGGACAGTTTTTCAATAAGATACATGCTTGCATGACCAAGTTTTCTATGCCAAAGCCATGGATTATCAGAAATGGATGCGAGACAAATATGACTGTCTAGATTTTCAATGCCATCAAGAATATAAACATTTCCATACCTTTTCCTGGAAGAATAATTTTACCTGCTTCATCGTTAATGGCGCATCCTGTTTTCTTGAATTTTATTTCATATATCGATTCACAAAGCTGAGTTATGCTCAAAAGATTGTAGTTGAGTCCATCTACAAGATATACCTCTGTAATATCACAATTATTTCCAAATGGAACTGTACCGGTACCAACTATCTTTCCTTTTGAATCATCACCAAATTTGATATTTCTACCATTTATTTTTGTAACTTCTTTGAACAGATTTTTGTCACCCGTCATGTGACTAGAGCACGCACTGTCTAAATACCATTTTCCTTTGCAGCTCTTTTTGTGGTGTTCCTGCAAAATAGAATTGTCACTTTCTTTTAGGTCCTTGTTGGTTAGTTCTTACTAGAATCAGGATAGTTTTTGGGTTTCCAAATCCATCCTGAAATATTAGATTTACGAAATCGACAAAAAGAATATTTTGTCCAATTTGGTTACAGTAATGACACACAGGGGTTGATCTAGTTTTTGATCTACCACTTGTGTTAGTACCTATCAACTCAGCTCTAACCAGTCCTTTTCCAGTTGACTTGTAAGTCTCCTGGTTAAACTTGACTGAACTGTGACTGGTGGATTTGCGCATGCCATTAAGTTGCATTTGCAATTCTGAACTTCATCTTGAAGTACGTCTCTTTCAATTTTATATACTTCAAGCTTAAGTTCCCAGTCTTTCTTTTCCCTATTAAGTCTTCATTCAATATTTTTTGAGACTCTTTCAGGGTAAGGTCAAGAATATCCTGCAATTCATTAGATCTATCACAGTTATAGGATCTTACCTCGCTTGTTTCACCTCGTGCCATGAAAAAGTTTTCAGTGTTTTTCTTGCATTCATTGTCTAATGTATCTTCATCAGTCCAGAAACCAGAGTATTTGTTCATGTCGTTTTCCAGGATAGTCATAAAGCACAGATTTGCTATTTCTTCGTGTTTTGAACTATCTTCATCACTCCAACTTCTGAATGATTTCTTTTTGCTGAACCCTCTAGAGACTTTTTTTTTAAGATCCAGGCATTCAGCTTGAACATGCCCATACCTTCCACAGTAAGAACATTTCCCGTCATTCTTGTCTTATTCATTGTATTGCCTAAATCGCAGATGGCATCCTTCCCCTTCTTGTATTTCTATACCTTCTCATTAACCCATCCATGTTTCTTGATACCATAGCAATTTCTTCTTCAAGAGCTTCCGGATTGTCATCAATATCATTCTCAGGTCCTTCAATTATAGATTTGTGAAGGCAACTGTTTTCTTCTTTTCTTCTTGACTTATTTTCTTGAGATAGATTTTCTCCAATGCTATAAGATCTCCTCTTAGTTCATCATATAAAAAATTTTTTAGATCTTGAGATTCGAGTGCAACTACTTTCGTCTGCCAAGTGGTAGGTAAACTCCTTAGGATTTTTTGAACTTGATCACTACCTGAATAGGGTTTATCAAAAGCTTTCAGATCGCTAATGATTTTGCTGAATCTTGCGAACATTTTCTCAATGGATTCTCCTTCTTTCATTTGGAAAAGTTCATAATCATGAACCAACATGTTTATTCGAGTTTCTTTCACTTTGCTGGTCCTTCATAGGTGACTTCCAGTTTGTCCCACATTTCTTTAGCCGTATCACAACTTGAAATCTTCTCATACTCTTCTCCACATATAGCGTTATACAACAGGTTTCGTGCCTTAGCATTAACCTGAAGGACCGCCATTTGTTCATCTGTGTATTCATCTATATCTTCAGGATCAGCGGGTCGTTGAGCTGCTGCTGGTAGTGGACAGTTTTCCTTTTTGATAACACGCCATACTTTCATATCACAAGATTTTTCATAGATTTCCACTCGAACTTTCCAGTGAGAAAAGTGTTATCTGTTGAAGTATAGTGGCCTGACATGTGACATTCCTTCTTGAAAGAGTGCTCCAACAGTTATTTGATTTGCCATTATCTTTTCTCACAAGTGGTTAAGTAAAAAGTGTGAGACCTGCTCTTATACCAATTAAAAGTGAAGGGGGAGGGGGGGGGGATTGTAATTTTTCTTTTCTTTTTTGAGGTAGTCGACTAATTTGCATTCTAGTCGACTGGACTTTTAAGGAACATAATGTAAAAGATAAATTGCAGAAAGTAAATGACACAATATATTTTTATACTGGTTCGGATTAAGAGTTAATCCTACATCCAGTCCTCCTGGGTTGCAAGGGTGATCTCTTTCAAGCATGAGTGGCTTAGTACAGATGAATTGATGTTGTTATACACCAACAACTTTTGTCACTTGTTCTTCTCTATATAATTGATACAATGCCTTCGCCAGTGTTCTTCTCTCTCTCTCTCTCTCTCTCTCTCTCTCTCTCTCTCTCTCTCTCTCTCTCTCTCTCTCTCTCTTCTCTTCTTAGTTACACAAGAAATCTAAAGTAGACTACATTGTTTGATTGAAATAGAACAAAGAGATTGAAGTTGGTTTGATCAAAGCATATCATTCCAAAGCTGGTGTAATAGGTATTTATACTTCTCGAGGCCTTCAAGTCTTGTACGTCTTTTTTAGAGATTGCGAACCCAAGGGAGTTGTATTCAGACAAAATCGTAGATTGATTCTTTCCGAGATTTATTCTTCTGCTGACTTGCCTTGACTCGCGGACTTGAATGATTTCTTCCTTAACTGAGAAAATATTCCCCTTACCAAATCCCTTGATTCATGCCTTCGATTGACGTGTTTAAGTGGGAGAATCTTTAGCGGATGATTTCGTACTCTTAATCTCCTTTGATTGAGATCCTTCCTATAATATCTTTATAATTGATTTTGCCATCTTCCTTGATTGATTTTTCCGCTTCTCGTTCCTTTTTTTTTTCGTTTGATTCATTTTTGCCTCCATTTTATTGCTCAGAATCTTTTCCTGCACATAGGGAGTAATTGGTTATTTTGCTTCATTGAAATTAACTGAGATCTAACAGGGGTAAACTGATTCAGACACCACGATTATCAGGAAAAAAGATGCTGGTTTCGGGGATTTCTTAGTCGATTTTATGTGGATATACGTTAGGGACTTAGGGTTTTATTGTCAAGCAATGTTTTAAAAGGCGGGGGCGTGAGGCGAGGCGTTTTACCTCTGACGAGGCGAGGCGTAAGCCCTGAGACATGGGGCTTAAGTCCCACAGATCTTTAAATTTTACTAATTTCAAGAATTTTAAGATAGCACAAAATAAAAAATAATTATAAATTACATTAAAATCACAAAACTATAACAAATAATCTATTTAAAATATTTATAAATTATAATTCAACTATGCATAATATAAAAAGTATGATATAGATCATAATATACAAATTCGCTGCAACGTCGTTGCAACTCAAACATCAAAAGTAATGTATTCGATGCGAAATCTTATATGTATCTCTTAAGGAGTAATGAATCTCGAAAGAATTTTGATATTATAATTTGTTTTTTTAAATTCTCCCTTTATTTAATATGCTTTCTATTTGAAAGAGAATTTATATAAAAATATAATTCACAATTTAAATATGGTTCTCTAGCATTATTTATTTTTAAGTTTTAACAAGTTAATAAAGTGACACATAATTCATTGTACTATACCATGATAACTAATTATTTGTAAATAGTTACTAGCTAATACTAAGCTATTAAATTAATAAGTATTGTATCTCGTAAACGTGAAAACAATAATATTTAGGAAAATAATTATAAAAAAAATTATATACTAATATAATAAAGACATAACAAAAGTTAATAAATAAATACTTTTAAATGAAAGATTTATTTAAAATCTACTAACATAATAGTCTTAGCGGGTAACGCGCAATAATTTTTATTTTAATTATGACATAAATACTCTCAACTTAATGATTTATGATTAAGAAAAAAAATAATTTTGAATATTCAAGGATTTATTAAGAAAATTTGAGGATTTACAAGATTAGTCACATACAATTGCATACAATTCTATTAGGCGAGCCCAGTACATTGGGCGTTGGGCTCCGGGGCGTAAGCCCCGACGGCCGAGGCATAAGTCTCACGGAACTAAGCCCCACACATAAGCCCAGGGACTTTTTACGAGTGCTCCGCCCCAGGGCGAGTCCCGAGCGAGTCTCAATTCTACCTTTTAAAACAGAGTTGTCAAGAAGCTAAGTTTGTTTTGGCAGTACACTGATTTGTTCTTGCGATGGAAAACCTTCAGTTATCAGTTGGAAATTAATTAGGAAAGTAATTCTCAGCGCGGAAGATTTTAATTTATCCCTTCGTAATTTTTTAAAAAAAAATTCAGTTGTATGAAAGACAAGAAGCGCCTAAGTATCTCAGACCTTGGACACAAGTTATAAAGGGGTAAAAATTTACCCGCGCCCGGTGTTTATACCTATCAAATTAATTTATCACGATTAAATTATAAATTAAGATAAAAATGTACATTAGTTAACTACTTATTTAATTATATAAGTATATGTGATGACATGTATTATGTATTCATTAGATTGGTATAAACATATGCGTATAAGTTTTTACATAACGAAGAACTGCTACTTTCCAATAAAAAGCTTATTCATTCACATGAAATGACAATTCGTAAAGTTTATCATAAAGTTTCACGGCCTCATTGCCTATACGTCACACGATCGTCCTAATTTCAGCAATTGATTGAACTTTTTCTGATATTTATAATAGGAAAAAATAGTGTACGAATTATTCCGTAGGAAAACAGTGTAGCAAATTATGAAAAATAAATGAAGTTTGAAGATTACCTTTTGGAATAATCACTACCTTTGATACGATTTTTCACACGATAATACTGATTGTTTATTATGAGCTCAAAGAACCAGCTGGAGACATAGTCAAACTAAATATTAATTGATGCCATTTTATGAAATAACCTTTGGAGCTTTGGCAATAGAAACGAGATTATCGGCAATGATTAGTAAAATTTATGAGCAACTATACAAATAAATACAAGTGTTAAAGCGTGTGGTGGTGAAGCCTCCTCTAATCATTGTTTAATTTGTACGAAATTTTTTCCAGCTATATATGTTTCACATGAAAGATTCTTGCTACATGGCCTAGCCGCCTAGGGTTATGTTTTCATGCAATTATAGTGCAAGTATAATTACTACTACTCACAATCCTTGTGTAACAATAAAAAGCAACACACACACTCAAAAGTAGCTGATATGATATAAAAACTAGTATGTTTACATATCCAAACGTTAGCATAGATATATTACTATTTGTTGGACCATCTCTATCCAGTAAAATTTTATCCATATCGATTGTTTACATCAAACTATATAAATTTATCATGAATAAGTGATTTGATAAGTGAAAATATATAATAATTGAATATGATTAAGTAAAAGAAGATTATGTGCAAACACATATTATACATATATTGATGTGGTAAACACTCTGCTCTAAAGGTAATCCAGGTCCTAGTTGTGGTGGCGGCATTGTTAGGAATGAAAAAGGGGAGATGATTATGGCATATGCAATGCCCCTAGGTATAGTGACTAACAACACTGCAGAAACTCTTGCATTAAAAGCTGGAATTGAATGGTGCATTGATCAAAACGTAAAGAAACTTGAAATAGAAAGTGATTGTCTGATGCTGGTCCAGTGGTTAACAAACACAACTAGTATACCCCAAAATGAGGTGCAAGATATAAGAAGCAAGTTTACACTATTAGTATTACTTTAATTTATATATATGAGTATTGGGTCAGGGTGGGCCAGGTCGGGTTGAGTCATTCCTATTTTAATTGAATTATTATTTATTAGGCTGAAAATAAAAAGATAAAAATCTACAAAATAAGAAAATACTAGCGATAAATTATATTTTCAGGTCACTATAATTTTGTGAGTTAGTAAAAGTTTTATGATTATTGGGTGAGAAAGCATAATTATATGATTTTGGTAAAAAAAAATTATAGTTATATGATTTTTGTGTGAAAAGACAAAGTTATATGACTTTAGTGAAAAAAAGTCATAGTTATATGACTTTTGTGTGAAAAACAAAGTTATACTATGACTTTAGTGAAAAAAAGTCATAGTTATATGACTTTTGTGTAAGAAAACAAAGTTATATGACTTTGGTTTAAAAACGTCATAAAAGAGAAGGGTGGTAAGTATTACAAACAAAAGCCTATATATGTAATTTGCAATTTTGATATAAGCAGTCTGCCGATCCAGTTAAGAGGGTGTTTGGCTAAACTTATAAGCCGGTCAAACTGGCTTATAAGCACTTTTTGGTTTATCTACGCTTTTGGTAAACACCCAAAGTGCTTATAAGCCAAGTGCTTATAAGCTAAAATCAGTCATAAGTCATAAGCTGGTCACCCCTAACTTATGGCTTTTTAGCTTATAAGCACTTTTAGTTTGACCAACACTTTTACTAGTTTATCCTTAATAATATTTTCTAATTCAAAAATGCTTTTCCCAAAATAAATTTCTTGACCTTCTCTTCATTCCATATTCGTTGTTAATTCTTTTCTTTACAAAGAAAGTTTTAATTTATAATCTTCTAGAAAAAATTCAAGGGTATTTTAGTCATTTAATAAAAGATTAGCTTATCAACACTTTTTAATCAAACACATCAACTGTTTATTATCAGTTTTAGCACTTCTATCCGAACACGTAAATGCTTATTTTAAAAATCAGTTTCAGCACTTCAAGCTTATCAGCTATTTACACTCAGCTAATCCAAATGGGCTCTAAGTCTACCTATGGTATTATGACCATTTGTGAAATTAACCCAAGACTTGCACTATAAATATCGCATTGTATATGCTAAATAAAATTCATGGTTTCCAACTGACTGTTCTTCACTTGAAATTATTTTAGAGAAAAACGAATGTTAATTCACATGATTTCAATCGTACAGTTTGAGGAAGGAAGCCGATCTGTTGAATACAATTTGTAGCTATATACAACGGAGAAGTCGTTGTGGACTTCAAACTCTCAGAAGATATCAATCTGATACAATTTTAAAACTATACACATATTTAAACGTGAGAATAATGTGGGTCAAACTTCTCAGACTGCAACCTAAAGTAAATTAATTAACTCTATTTTTTATTTAACTCAGTTTCAAAACCAGATTGCGGTGAAAAAGACATGAAATCATGTCGCCCACAGATAAACTGAGCTCAAGGATTATTTTAGTGATAAAAACGTTAACCACAAACAAAACAAGTTGGAGTTTTATATTACATAAAACATAATGCTAAACATTGTTGATTCTGCAAAGGGCTTTGAACGTTTCTAATGTTAAACTTTTTCTTTTAAATCAGTATGGTGGGATGAGTTAAATCCCTCGATTTCAAATTCGAGTTATGGAAAACTCCTCCTTCAATGACCCTAAGCAGGACAAATCTTAATTAGTGAGTATGATAAAAGAAAAAGAATTCTCTTTTTGAAAAACTCAATTCAACATCTATTTCTAATAAAAGCGGAGCTGATTCCATTTGTCTAACGTTGTAGGTAATAATTAATGCATAATAATAGACACTAATATCCCGTGACATCAAGGAGGAAAAAACACTAGTATACCTTCTTTATTTATTTTCCTATAAATATGCTCTCATTTGCTGCAACTTTTGTCCATAAATTATTAGCCTCCTAAAATTCCCTTTTCAAGAAAAGGAGAGCAGAGAAATAGGGAGAGAGATGGACAATGGCTTCTTATTAGATGAATTACTAGCTCTAAGAAATGACTCATGGGAAACATATTTCCCTATGGAAATTAATGATTTATACAACAATAGCTGGAATTATGAATATTTTGCTGAAAATCCTATTCCCATTCCTCTTCCTTGTACTACTACTACTACTACTACCTCTTCTTTTGAGGATTACTCTAATTTCCCATTTGACCAAAGCCTAAACAGTCCGTTAATCAGTGAATTTTACAGCACACAATTACTAGGAGATGAATTATCTCCTCTAGAGCTCACTAATTCTTCCAACAACTGGCTTGACACTCCTTTCACTTCCCAATTACAAGATTTGGAGGTTGGAAATTTCAACATTGGCAGCTTGTGCCCTGAGAAAAAGGTCAATACAAAGAAGCTAAATGGGCAGCCATCTAAGAATTTAATGGCTGAGAGAAGGAGAAGAAAGCGACTCAATGAACGTCTTTCCATGCTTAGATCAATTGTTCCCAAGATTAGCAAGGTAAAATAAATAGAGCTTAAGTTTTTCACTTCTTTTTCGATAAAGAGATTTATATGTCAGTTGAAAATTATATATGGAGATTTTCTAGCGTTAAAGAAACTAAATTTCACAATATTGGACTACGACAAGATTTAAATAGAGTGGTGACATGGACAGTAAAAATTCGTATATAGCCGACATATTAATTAGTTGTTGTTTTCATGTTATAATTTGCAATACCATGCATATAGAATCAAGAATTCGGATATCATTCATCTTTTTAATTTCTGAAGTTTATCTACATGTTGTCATATA